CCATCTGTAAATCAATATATTAAATAAAAAGCTCTGAAAGCTGCGGGTAAAACAGGTTTTTCATGTCTCAATGATTTAGAAAGACTGGTTACAACGGTTGGCTTATAGGGAACATATAGATTAACATTTCTGTACGTACACAGTACCTTTTTAGGAGTGCTTATACAGCTTAGACTTCTGTACCTTATCCTAACTACAAACATACTGAGGGAACGTACTCAGGAAAATATGAAGCAGTGTAGCAACCATAAAGGACCGTTGTTCTTTAGGAATCTCATTACACATGAGATCTAAGCATTAGGAAGGTGAGCAAAATGGAAACAACTCCTCAAACACCAGGATTATTTCGCCAGCATGACACACATTTACATGTCTTCTGACCCTCTGAAGTGTTCATGCCTTATGCCACATGGGGACTTCCTTTGGTGCCTTTTATTTAAAATCTGCGTAAGGATGCCCACACACAGCTCTCCAGTGCATGGCTTGAGAATTTTGGCAGACTCATGCCAGTCTAATATTACTTGTGCAGTAGCTTACACACTGTCTGAAGAAATTCCATGCTGCACAGTTTGCTCTCATCCAGAAAGACAAAACAAAATGGGAATAATTACAAATTTGTGTCTCTCCTCAGTACTATCTTCTCAGGGGCAATACTCCTGTATTCCCAAAGTGACTTACCTTCCACACTTACTTGGTGTTGCTCTTGTTTCCATTAGTGGAAATCACAATTAAGAATACTAGGATGGAATAAAGCATTGCGAATAATGGGATGGAAATTGTAAAAAGCTGTTTAAGCAAGCCATAATAGCCATGCTACATTTAAATCCCCTGAACATATGCAGTGTTTCCTATTTAGGATCTTTGATCCGCTCTGCATTTAGGGACAGACACCCAAATATCCACCAAAAACACAATCTTTCTGGACAATTTCTTGGCGGAAGAAAAAAACAGAAGAGAGAGTGTAGAAAACATGGACGCTGAAACTCAAAACCCAAGCTGTTTTACAAACTAAGGAGCATAAGAAATTAATCTATACTTAAGCTGCTACAGCAGACTGTAGGCCTAACGTGCATTTGATGCATACCAGAGAACCTTGAATGAGAAAAGGCATGTGAATAAAACATGACTCAATAAAATATTTAATGCCGAAATGTCAGGATTTTAATTATGTGCAATGTCAGCCCTGTGAATATGAAGCACAAAGCACCTCAAGTATTTAGGGCACTGACAACAGTAGTTACAAACGTATTCACTGATTTATTTTACAAAACAGTTATGTTGGATGCAGCACTTGAGAAACAAGCAAACAGATAACTCCAAACCAACAACAACAATAAGACCCCCAAAACCATCAAACCCCAAACAAAAACCCAAGAACCCAATAAAAAACCACAAAGACCACATATCTAGATGTGGTCTTCACCAATAATCAGAACTACCAGTTTAATAACACCTGGTGTTAGATCTTCAAGCCACCTCCCTCAGATACCTGTGTGCTCCAAATTGCTGTGGAGTCAGTAAAGGCACAATGTCAAGACTTCATAAAGAAATGCCACAGAAATGAGGGCAAGGAAAATGGAAACATCTGAAAGTGCATATGTGGATTTCAAAACAGTCTTCTTCAGCTTGGGAATGTGGAGAGCTGACACACTTTCAAGAGAGATGTATATCTGGATAAAAGCCCAAAATAGCTCCCAGATCATTCAGGAAGAAAGCAAAAATGGTAAAACAATTAACATACAGTGCTGTTCACGAAGAAAACAGGAAATATAGTCCACTGGGGAGAAATATAGAAGACTACTAAAACAGGCAGCCTCTTGCGAATGCAAACAAGAAATTAAAGGAGATGAGAAACTGATTCAAAACTCCCCCACAACAGCTCCTACAAACCACAAAGCCCAGCAAACCAGCTAAGAAGGAAGCAAGCAACACTACATATCTAATTGAATCCTTGTACAATCCTCCACACTTTATAGCTCATTCTACATCCAAATGGTAAAGGGAGGATTCTTCAAGATGTCTAGTGAAAACCCAAGAAAAACTTTAGTAATAAGGACAGATCGTATAAATGTAAGTTACAGGGGCACTCTCTTAGTAAAGCAGCACAGAAGCTAAAGCAAACAATTATGCCTTTTGTGCTCAATCAGCCGGATTAGTGCTTGAATGGACACAGACATTTTACGTATCAAATAAACAGTATTGGGAGTTAGGATATCGATTTACATAAGAAGAATATGACTAGAGACCTGTGCAGGAAGCAGCACGCACTGTGACATGATACTGTGGTCAGTTTTCAGAATCACTTGCATTCAGGCAGGCCCTGACTTCAAGTGACACAGCTATGCCTGTCCCAGCAGACATACAGACAGCAGCAAGATAAGAGCCCATGAAAATCTGAGAGGAGGAAACTAATGCTGGCCTTCCTCTGGCATTTTCTGAATGCTTGAATCAGCAAACTTCCTCTCCTCCCCCCCCCCCTTTTTTTTTAAGTAGCTTTGGGCATAGTCTTTGAAGCAGACTTTATCTTCTTTTCTGGGCACAGGATGAAAGAAATCATAACTTAATGCACCATAAAGAAAGCAAACAGAGCAAGAAAGTATAGTAGAATATAGTAGAAAGACTAGGAATGCACAGTGTTAAAAACAAAAGGAGAAGAGACTATAGTGGTAAGGTGTCAACAAAAGAGTGAAACAAGGAAAGAAATCCTTACTGGTGACCCACAGTATCAGAAATAATGCTAGGGAGAAAGTACAAGTACTCTTTGCTACTGTGTTTAACAGCAGAAATAAAATCCTGCAAATCAAGCTTGAGAATACAGAAACAGAAATACGAAATTAGAGGAAATTATTCCAATGCCAGATAAATACAGCAGGCTCAGATGCAGCAGTGTGCTCTGCTCGTTAAGCTATTGGAGACACTAAGGTTTTTGAGAAAGACTGTCAAATGATTCTGAGACTCCAATGAGATTAATGCATCTGTGAATGAGTCTCACCAGCTAACCTTCTGAATTAGCCACTGTACAAATGCTAGATCTGCAAGGAGGTTAGGAAAGAAGAGGGTTGTGTGAAAATAAATAAGTAGATAAGCAAGAAGGCCATTTGACTGCAGGCTGAATGTATCACCCTCAGGAGTGGTCACTGACTGCTGCTAATGAGAAGTAACCTGGGGTCTTGCAAATGAAGGTGAGGTGTCTTCACATTTTAAATTTTCTGAAGACTTCCCTCACAACTGACACAACTCACTGTACATCCTCTAGACTTAGTTTTCTCCTGATAACACAGACATTAGTTTACTTTTATCATATAATCAAGACAAATTCTATTGCCTATTCAGGTTGACAATAGGCTAGTGGAAGGGAGAACTTCTTGAAGAGCTCTGGGGTGGTGCCTTGACAATGTTTTTATTTTGTCCAGTTTTTCTAAACTTACTTCCATTTCAGGGCTGATAAAGCTCCTGCTCTACAGTCAGAATACATACCACTTCCTCTTTATACGAACCTTGCGCTACCATCCACCTTTGATTCCCTTCCTCTCTCTACTTCTGCTCTTATAATTTCAGATTTTGCCAGAAGGAGCCATTAGATCACTTAAGCAGACCTCCAGTATAATGCAGGCACTAACTATCACCCAGCCCTCGCTGAAACCTACCTACTTCAGTGAAATGAAAGCAAGAGATTAAATTGTACACTGCAGGAGACCTTGAAGCAGAAGCTGTACCTGGGGACACTGTACTGGCAGAAACCTGGGCAAAATACATGCAGATAATTCCATCAAGAAACAACAGTCTCCACTGCAGAGAGGGATAGTGAGCCACAAGTCTGGCATTCAAAAAGACTTCTTTCCAAGCCAGAATCTGGAAGTAGAATATGCAGCACTAAGAATGACTGACCAGACAAAAAAATTCTATTTTCTCTTAGATGTCTATACTATTTCTCAGCAATGGAAGGCTTATTTTCAGCCCTGACTAACTGCTGGTGTTTAGGAGAAAATACAAAAGCAAAATACAAACAAAACCCACTAGAGTAGTGTGAATAATAATGGAAAAGCCCTCCCTTACTCATAGTAGAAATCAGGCTACCTAAGATTTTATTATAATTGTACTGCATCTGAAGGCTGATATAAATTCAGACTCAAAATATGATCTGTCAATTTGCTTCTGAAATTTTAAAGTAGATACACAATCAAGTTTATAATCCAAGCAACAATAAACCTACCATCTTTACATGCACTTCTTTTTGTACTAATTTTACTATACTCTTAGACAGAGGGCTGGAACCTTACGGAAGGAGTGAAACTGCACGGTTTAATTCTCTCCCCACTGAGTTTCACCACACTTTCACAGGCAGAGATTGAGCTACCACAGCAGGAATGACACCTTCTGAAAGCACTTTGCAGCAGAAGTCCATACAGAAGTCTACGTATCAATAATAGGAACCCTAACCTCTACCAAGAGGCAGTGCAAACTGCACCCACAGGATCAGTGATTCCTCTGCTATTCTGTCTTACAAAAAATACCTCTTATCTCAGAGGAAAAAAAGGTGACTTAATGACACTAATTACAAAAATGCAGGGAACAGGCTAACAGCTCAGCAGGCTCTGTGATAGGGTGCTGAGCCTGAGGTAGACCTAAGGGACAATCACCCCACTGGTAATTAAAAAGGTCAAAGTGCCTGACTAAGCTCATTACAGATTTTAATACATGCACTTTGAACATACAAGAAATGAGAGATATCAGGCAGCTGTCAATCCAAGGCAGACCTCTTCATGACTTAATTTCCACCCCTATCAAGCCAGCAAGTTCACCTGTTTAATGGTCAATGCCTTGCATGACACATTATGGACTACACAAATTCATTAGTTTGCTCTTCACTTCGTATTTCACTCCCTCAACCCTGTTCCCTCTGAAAGCACATTAAGTCCCCCAAACCATTATTTACATTCATTAGCTCTCAGTTTACAAAATGATACAAATTACCAAAAAGTAACATCACAAGTAATGACCTTGTCTGGCTGTACTGCAGATAAGAAGCATGAAGGTCCTCAAGCAGTGTTAACACTCCAGCAAGCTCAGAAGCAGCTGTTCTAACAGACCCATGGGCTTTTGCAAGGCCACTAGCCACTTAATCCGTGTACCACTGAAGCTTGTTTCCAGGCTTGGCAGCTGGTACTTACGTCACAATTGCTGCACTTGCCAAGCAGTTCCAGAAAGTTCAGAAGGGAGGGATTAACAAGGCATTTCCCTCCCTCCCCTGTTTCACTCCTGATTGCTAGGGATGCACCAGCTGCTAAGTAGTGTAAGGCAGAGACAGCCTGTAGCTGCTCTGATTTACCTCAGCTTTATCTGGGCAGTCTCTCCCATGCCTCCCCAGTCAGACTATGAAATCTCTGTAAAATTTAAGGTTGGACTTCAGCTTGAATCTTGGAAACTCAGACTGTTCCCTCATACACAAATCAGAGTAGAAGTATAGCTTTTTATGTAAAAGGTTACTGTCAACCGCAGAAGATAATTTATAGGACCATTCATGTCACCACTTGTTTCCCTATATGTGTCAAATCTTTCATGTCCTTAAGACAAATGGCTGCAACCTTAATGAAATGCCATCTCCTCTGCCAGGTGCATCAGTACCAAACTGGGGACAGATTTCCAATGCCAAAAAGGCAGATCTGTCCACATGGACAACCTTGTTCTGACAGCCTGATGCTACTGTGATCTGATCTTGCTTACACATGCACTTTGCTTTGCTTGTCTTGCTCCTTTCTCTCACAGATCCTGAACACTACAGTACCAAGTTCACTATCAAAAGCCTTGTTCTGTGACAGCAGAGGAGGGAGGAAATGCAGAAAAGAGAAACTACAGCATGTCTAATTTTAGCTTGCTTCTATTTCTGACAGAGTAACTTCAAAGGCAGCAAAAAAGTTGCGGTCTGCTCCCATTAAAATGCATGATATTTTCCAATTTCCCCATCAACTCCAATAGGAGAACCTCATACTAGGAAAAGCATACATCACTGAATTCAAACAAAATATACGTAAGAAAGTTGTGACAAGGGGGTATTTTCAACAATGCTGCAGGTGTACACAGTGACCTGCTCAACATTCATCCTATTTTGCAGGACTGTAAAAACCCAAAAGCAAAGCACATCAGGAATGGGGAGAAAGAAAAAAGGGGGGGGGGGTAAAAGACAATAAAAAAAAAAACCTATGACTTATTGTAGTGAGTACTCACTGTACAGCTCCATTTAGCTCAGCTGCCTTTCCCTTAGAAGAATAAAACCACAGCTGTGTAGGCAACGCTTGCTTTAACAGCTAAGTACCTTCCTTATCAACTATTACATCCATCTGTAAGAGAGAAATGAATCTAAAAACACTTCCTACTACACACACTTGTATCCCATCTCATATAAGCTGGGAGCCATCATGTGACTACAGCATATAAGGAATGTCAATGGCCCCACCTGCAGCCAACAAAGCACATGGGGCAGGAAATGAGTTTAACCATGCAACTAGAAAGAGAAGCACTGGACTTGTGGAGTTTTGAAGGAATATGATCGCTACTGGAAAAACAATATGACTTTTACTATTAAGCAGCTTTCCAGTCATAAGACCTGAAAATATTTAACTAAATAGAACCTGAACTGAAGGAAAGGTCAAGCTTGAACATGCCTTAAAAACTGGAGAAAGTTGAATGTGGCTCCTGAATTAATCAGACAAGGCTGGGACAGGAGAGAAAAGAAGCAATACCTGTGTGAACTCGCATGTACAACTCATCTTTCCCATATTAGGACAGTATTAAATTGCCACTTCAAAATGGGTAGACACTGCAGAGAGTACGAGACACTATCATTGACTCAGGATGAAAGTCAGTAAGAATATCAAGACTTTTTAATAAGACAAGTCTAAATGATTTAAATAGCACTTAAATGAGAATCAATGCCTCTACCATTTCATTCTTTATTCCTTCTACACTCTCATTAATGCCAGTCACTTCCCAGCCACAATAACTTTGTGACCAAGGCCATCTACTGGTGAGTAGGGTTTGCAAATTAATGGGGGTTTTGTTGGCCAGATTTAATCCGTGCTTGTCAAGATTCAGACACATGCACTGGAACTGTACTAAGCAGCTGTCAGTAATTAGTAAACATGACCATACTTTTGGATGAACAAATAAAAAAATAAGGCTTCCCAAACTCCCCACGAACCTAAAGAAATGTCATTTCACCCCAGGGAGAAGAATGTGGTCCTTTCAATCTCCATTTTAAGCATAGTCCAGACACTTGGTGACCTCACCATTCTGTGTAAAATGAATTAGAAATGTCAGTGTTCCTAACAGAGATGAATTCTACCCTGAAAATCACCACCAAACCTGGTGACACTGTTTCTAAGAATTACTGGGCTAAAACTGCGAATATTTTAGATGGGTATGTATGCGGATTTAGAGCCACTACACCATGATTACAATTGTACTTGTCCCCTTGACTTAAAAGCAGCAGAAGTGGAAGTCATGCAAGGAGACAAAAAGGATATAAATCACACCCAAATCCTTACACACTGTGATGTCTGAGACAAATCAGCTACAGAAAGCAGGAGTGCTATCATGCTGTGACAGAGACCCCCACATTGTTCTACTGTTCCCTGTTCAGCATTATTATTCCCAAATTGTGAAGATGTTTCTAATAAACACTTCCTTTAGTTCTTTAAAAATTCTGTAACACTTAAGTTAGTATTATGGCCATCCCCAAATTACAAGACTATACTCTCCTCCATATTTTTCTTAGATCAAGATGAAGCAAACTTAACCCTTTATTCATCATTTTTTCCATGAGAATTTGGGACAAACTTGATATAGAAATGTACTCACTAGAAACTAGCTTGAAGACACTAAATACATTTCTTATCTTAAATAACAGCAAGTTTGGGGAAATACTTTTGAGTAGCAACATAGAAACTGTAAAATCCTGTTTTGCCTGATCAAGTAACATGGAAGAAAAGTATTTCCACAAGAGAAAACATGGATACCATAAGATGACAAAGGCCCTTCACTGACTTTCGCTTTGGTCTCATTAACTGCTATGATGATGAGATTTATGAAAGAGAATTTATATAGAGATGTCATGTAAAACAGATTCAAACCTTCCTGTAAACTTCGATTCTTTAAGATGCATATCTGTCCCTTCCTTCCAGGTTGGGTTTGGAGCATGTTCATACCAAGCCACAATTTTACAGTGAACAAAACAAACATTTTTCATTATTAGTTATATAGAAGGGTCTACCCCGCCTTCGCTTCCAAAAATGGAGCACTCGCTAGTAAAAGGGTAATCCCTTATCAGTCATGACAGACTCCCATTTTGATAGATCTATCAAACAGAAAAGATACTACTAAAGTAACCTAAATTAAAAATGACAGTTTAGCAGCATTTCTAGATAGACTTCCACTACTTAAATGTGAAAGCAGACACTCCTGAATACAAAGATGGCTTTGCTGGCTTTTATCTTCTTTTGCTCCATAATGACTTCTTCTAGAAGTGCATCTACACACTTCACTAGTGTTCTGCTTGTTTCTCCTGTTGCTATGTCAAAGAAATACATCTGATTGCAGCTTCTTGCAGCACATCATTCAGTAGCCACACTGGACATGCTTGCTAGCATCACTCCAGCAAATGGTCCACAGAATAATAAATATCTTTCACTTTGCCTCAAACTTTTCCAGATTGACTGCATACAAAATGGCTATATATAATTTTAAATACAGCATTTTGTTTCTCCCCTGAAGACAAGGACCTCTGTCATCACTGAACTTTGTGCAGAGGACAGATCACGAACTCTCCATTGTAAGGCCAGGCTGCTGCTAAGGCAGAACAAAATACCATAATTATTTTGCCAAGATTAGACATAAAAAGCCTTGTTGATAAATGTTAAAACATTCTTCTCGTCAAATCACTGTATCAAAAGAGCTGAGCCATGTAAATTTAACTTATACCTTTCAATCACTACTGTGAATCACAGCAACTATACTTCATGCTTTCAAAACACTGCACAGATCTCTATAACATGCCTGGGTAGAAAGTTAGCTATATCTTTAAAGTTGAGATAGTGAAGAAAAGAAACTGTTATGATGATCTCCTGTTGACCTGCATGTAAAAACTACTAAAGTTACCCTCACCTGTAATATGCCAGTAACAGACATAATCTGAGAATCAGGAAATAGTTCAGTTGCAACATTTAATGATTTGCTCATTTCTTCAACAAGCATTTCAGGGGAGTTTATTTAGATTCACTGTCCGGTAGCTCTTTTAAATTCATGGTTTTGACTACTTTTTCTTTCATAAATCTCTAAGCTTGCCTGTATGTTACTGAATTGAAAGGAATGTTGGTTTTATTTTTCAAAATATACGTATCAGATTGATTCATCTTCCTGGTGAAATGCTGGAAGTTTTCTCTTACTCCAGTCCTATACCAAATACTGATAATGGCACTAACTTTTTTAATCTCAAATGTATTCAAAAGCAAGATTACCTCAAAATGAACTGCTGAGGCTAGACAGTCTAAGAAGTCCATCTACCTCTATTTCATCTAGCATATTATTCAGTTACATATTGTACAGTCCCTAGGGAAAAAAGAAACATAGGAAAATAACTCAGAGGGGCCATCAGCCAAAAGACTGTTGTTTATCTTCAAGTAGAACCATTTCTTCTCATAATGTAAGAAGTCAACATACCCGTAATATTGGCCTGTGTGAAACTGTGCTGTGTAAATGCCTTGGATGAGCATCAGTACCAATTAAACTTGTACTAGCCTGCTCCAGGGAAAAGGCTTTATTGTAATGCCGCAGCATAGAATAAGTTTCAGGAACAATTTGGGGAAATGAAACATACAAAATTCATCCCTCTTTCGGATGGGAAGGGGGGGTGGGGGAAGAGAGACCTAACATCTACAGTGGTACACAAAAAGACTGTAGAAGGCATTTATTCTAATAGCCTTGGATGTTCAATCCGTGTAATTGTCCAGTCTGGTTTTGCTCCTTCTGTAAATTCCCTTTGGAACCTGCAAAAGGAAAGACAGTAAATGAAGAGTTGTTAAAATTTACTTGATCCTTAAATAGCTACTAATACCAACTAGAAATTGTGAAGAAATACTTTACTTCAAAGTTATTCCTGTAAGAGCTCCTTAGACTCTGATGCTTATGCCCCAAAATGGAGTATCAAAATTAATTCTATAGTAAGAAACAGAGTGCACTGACTTCAGAGTATTTTGGTTGAGATCCCACAGACAGCATCAAGCAGCAATAGTAAAGACCCTGCTATCAAGAAAGCACTGTTTTCATAGCAGTAACTATGAATATGGCATTGTGTCAGATCTTCATCTCTAAATAATGGTTTTCATTTAATGGGATGGCAACTGCATTGTAAAGGGAAATCACATGCTATTCATTCTACCTGAACATTTTCATTTTTACTGAACCATGTTTAAAAGTAAATTATCTTCAGAAATACATCGAAGATCAAGCTAACAGTATCAGTGAATCTCACAGTTGTTTCTAGGAAAATGAAACCTCTTTTCATACAGTCTTCTTCCTTTTGTAGTCATAATATCTCCCTCCCTGAGCATGTCAGTTTTGACTGCTGGCCATCTAAAGACAGGTCTGAACTTCAAGCTGAATATTCATGCTCCAAGTAACCTGCACATTGTTGACACAAGCAGTATAACCTCAGTGCTTTGCAATTACATGCAAAGCCACTACTGGAAACTGTCTTCTCCAGACACCCAAATACTTAACAGTAGGCTTCCAAGGCCTGCAGGATCTTTGCTAATTTGAATTTAGGTTGGCACTGTTAATAGCAGAAGAAACACATACTTGCAAAGATATTTCTGCTAGGGATTAGGAAGATATTTAGGGCTTTATGTAGACTCTTGAAGTTAATGGAACCTCAGAAGCCTCCAGATGTAAGGAAGATTCTGAATTCAGCTAAGGTATGGATCCACAAAAGTCCATTCAGGCAAAAAGCACTGGTGTCCTCAGAATGTTTCCTTTGTTTCAGAGCTCCTCATCAACTAGACCCACAGTCTCACACCATTTCAAACATGGGTGTTAAAGTCATTGATTATATTGCATTTCTCACACAAAAATCCTCACTTCTCCCCTAATAATGTTATTTTCAGTACCTTTTGCCAGCTGTGCAGGTATTTCTGCACTGCTCCAACATCAGTACACTAACAGAGACATTATTTACAAGCAGTCCTATGAAAATTCCTCTACACAATGTGTTCTTTGAGTACTTGGATCAGAGTGGTATGAACTATCTGAACACCAGG